GCAGCGTCCCCATCAGCTCAAGCAGATATTAAGGAGAATTCCACCCCAGAACATTGACCAGCAGCTGAGACGTACCGGGGATTGGGCAGAGCTGTCCCTGTGTGCAGCATCTTGAGCTTATCCCAGCTGCAGGAAAATCAAGCCCAAACTCTCTCTGCCTGCAGCTCTGTCCTGCTTTTCTGTACCAAGCAGGGCAGAACCGCACCAAGGGCTCCCCCAACGCACCCCATGGTTTTCAGCAGACCACGAGGAGCCCGCAGAAGGTGCACAAAGGCTCACCTACGCTCGGGACTCGGCTCGCTGCATGTCCACGCACCGCCAGGGGAGGCTTTAGGAGGCCAGGACTGAGGGAAGGGAGCAGGGCTGGGGGATGTGGAGCTCGGTCACGCCAGGGCGAAGCGCACAGCGCCAGCAGGCAGGCCTGCAGGAAACAGCTTCTTCCTGTGACGGCAGGACAGCGCTGCAGCCTCTCCCTGGGGAAGGCTCCAGCCTGCAGACCAAGGACTGGCCACGTCCTGGTCCCACCACGGCAGGGAGAAGGACGAGGAGGGGCAGGATCCCAGCTTCCAGCACTTTGGGGCGTGCAGTGCTACGGTGCCGGCAGTGGGAGAGAGGCGGGTGGGTACTGAACCACGGGCCTGCGATGCTGCTTCTCGACCAGCCCTGATCCAGGCCTTTCAGCAAACCTCCCCACGCCTAGGCGAGCCGTGACAACCACAGGTACCGCACTCGGCCCTGTTAAGCAGGCAGAATCACAACTTTCATCCCAGCTTATCACCTGCACCACTTGCAGCACCGCCGCTGCCTCCTCAAACGCTTTCAGATCACAAAACACGAGCTTACGGCGTTGCCAGCAACAGCCCAATCCCTCCCTCATGTCAGCTTTGTTACCCAGTTTCCGTGGGGCTCTGAAGTCCTCCTATTCTTACGCTTTTCTTCCAGGCAGTTTACTAACAAGGGCCGGTGGGGTTCCGCACGCAGCACCGGTCCAGCACGTTGCTTTGGCCTCCTCTGGACTTTCTGAAGGGGATTTGTTGCTCCCGCAAGATCAAACCTCTCATTTCTCTATGTCTGAACTCTAACTGATACCCACACTGAATTTTATTCAAAGACACGAGAAGCGTTTCCTGAAGGAGCAGCCAGCACGGGGACGGACACAAAGCGTGGGCGTCACGGAGACCACCGGGAGCACTCAGTCCCCCCATCACCTATGAAGTTTGGAATTTTGGCCAAGCAGGTCCTTGGTTCTGGAGGATTGTGTTGCCGCCGTGCAGCAGGCAGCAGGAGGGAAGGATGCTGCAGCCCTGGTGTTTTTCTGCCTCCCTGCCCCACACCTGGGAGCCAGCTTCCTGGAGGGATCCCGAGAGCCACAGCACAGCTAAAAATGACACCACGTTACGTCCCTGCACCGTTACTTCAGTCTCTGTGATACTTACAGAAGGCCTGAAGGAACTTTTCCTTCCTGGAGAGGAAGCTCCCAGCTGGAGGATAGCTTTACAGCGTGAGCTCATGGGGGGTGCACAGCAGCTGTGCTGAACAGACTGAGCAAACACTTCCCTTTTGATGAAGGAGGTGTCTGAGCAGCACCCCGGACTCCTGAACAACTGCCCAGCAGGGTCGGGGACTGCTTTTGCCCACCAGACCCAGCCCTGTAACAGAAAAACCCCAAAGATGCCCTTGGCACAAGGAAATTCTCTGGGGGAGGACAGGAGCTCTGGGAAGGGGAACGTTTCCCAAAGGGTCTGAAGGAGGAGCTGGCATGAGGAAAATGAAAAAAAACAGTGAAAGGAAGCGAGCCAGCCCTGCCCAGCGAGGGACCCAGCGCACAGGTGGTCCCCGTGCCACCCCCTGTAGCTGTGACTGCGGCACGGGGCTGTCACATCACCTGCTGCCACTCAGTGCTCACGTGGAAAACCGCTGGCTGAGGCCATCACCGAGCCTCACCCAACTCATCCCAAATCAACCCCTAGCCCTTGGGACCGACAGCAAGCGACCAGTGTCTGCCACTGGCAACTCTCATCACAGCCACCGCCTGTGAACTCCCACCCTTAAGGGAGATGGAGCTTCCTCAAGCCTCCACGCACAACCTGGTTCGTAAAAAACCAGAAACGTGCCTGAAAGCACCGGCGTGAATCCATCACCTGTACGCGCTCACTGCCAGCGTGACCTGGAGCTGTGCGAGTAAGCCGAAACCTCTCCGTGCTCGGCAGCCCCGGGCAGGCAGGGAGGAATGCCGCCCGTCAGGTCCCCGCCAGCAGCATTTGCAAAGCTGAGCGCTGGTGAAGAGGCTTCTCCAGCAATCTGCTAGAAAGCTCTGAGGAGCCCCATACGAAACGTCTCTGGGGCTGCCTCTATAGCCCCCCACGAGCAGCACCCTTCTCAGAAAGTGGATCAGAAAAGACAGACCAGCCTCGTTCAGGGTCACCAAGACAGCGAATGCCACAGCTGAGAGCTGCAGCGAGACCACGGCACGAGACAAGAGTTAGCAAGGAGGAGAACTCGTCAGAAACCTTCATCTGAACGCCTACTTAAAGGGCGGGCAAGGTCAGGAGGCAATTTTCCCAAAGAAAACCCCAAAGAGAAACTAAACAGCGTCCACCTGCAGGACTCAAAGATCTGCTGCCGTTCCCAAGCTCACCAGCACCAGGGCCGTGCCTCTCCCTCCTGCTCCTCCAGCCCGGGCCTGCTGCGTGTGAGAGCTCCTTCCACGCCACGATTCGGGTGAGGAACTCGCAGGAAGGTAATTGGGAGCGGGGGGAGCAAAAAGAAAAGCTCAGCTCGGCAGAGACCAGCAAACAGCACGCTGCCACCGCGTGCGCGGGACGAGCACCTCGCCCCTCCAGGAGCACTGAGCGTGCCCCCAGCCCGGCCCGAGCCACGCGCAGTGAGGCCGGGCTCCTTGGTGAGCCCCCCACAGCCACGCAGAGCACAGAGGGAGCTGCAGGACGTGGAGGAGAAAGCCCCCCACGCCGGGCACAAGGGGCAGAGGGGGGACACCCCCGGGCACCCTGCTCTCGGGGCAGCGCTGTGCCAGCAGGCCAGCTGCACGCTCGGGAGGGAGGCGGTGACAAAGAAGGCAGAAATGCCAAATATATACACCGCCAGCCCCGCTGGCAAGATGAGCTTCCATCCAGCAAACTGACCCACGGACAGCTTTAAGCCAGCTGGGAAGCGCAGGGAGATAGCAGATAGAGACATGCCCTGGGAGAGGAAACGCACCCATCTGAATGACTCCTGCAGGTTCAGGTGTTATCTTCCCTTCCAGCAGCACCTCGGCAGTCTGGCCAAACTTACTCGCCCTCGCAGAACAAGCCCTAAAAGCCCCGGTTCTTGGGGCTGATCTTTGATTTTTCACAGCTCAAACACGGTCACAGCGAATGGGGTTTAAGGTACGCAGCTCTCCAGACGGCACAAACATCCTAAGAACAAACATCTGCAGCATACCAAGACCTCAGATATGCTGGGTCAACCCAACTGTGTTTATCTGTATTTTGCCCAAATTGCTGCTGAAGTACTCTGAGCTCAGGGAGCAGCAGCCTCCCACCCTCCCTCCCCGCCGCTCCAGCAAGAGGCCAGAAGCAATCGGCCGGCAGCCTACGAGCAGCGCAAGGAATGCCAGAGACATTTATTTACACAACCACTGCTTGCCCAAGGAGAACTTTGAGTTTGCATTTTCCTTGTTCAAATTAATCATTACCGGAATTAATTCCTCCATATCAGTCCTCAGCTCACGGGAGGAAAGGCGCAAGCCACCCAGAATCAGCCCTGCAACAACTTTAGGACGGCTGTCACTGCCGAAAGCAGCCGTCCACAGCTCCCCCCAGGCTGGCACAGCGTGCTGACCCCCTCCAGGACAACCTCACCTTATTTCAACCCAAACCATGGATCAGGCAGCGAGACACCGCTCCTGCTGCCGTGCCACACTGCCAGGGGGGCTGGGGGGCAGCACAAAGCACCGAGGCCCCTCTCCTCACAGCCGTGGCCATCGGCTCCCACGGGCACAGAGCAGGGCACGGCGCTGCCCCCAACACCCACCCTGGCTGCCGGGGCTGGAGACACGCGAGGATTCCTCCCAAGCAGCTGCCTGTGGAGGATGAGCTAGGTTTGGAGGATGAGTTATGTTTGGAGGACAGGGTCGGGTTTGAGCCCATTCCTGCCGTGTGTTTCACATCACGAGCTGGGGGTCTCGCCGTACCTGCCGAGGGTCCAGCTCCGTCTCTTGGGGTCACCAAGCCCAGCGCAGCAGGCAGAGAAAGGAGAAGATTTACGCAGAATTTACTGCCTAGCGTCAAGAAAGGGGCGGCTGTAAGGCAGCGGGCACCCCGAGCACCAGCACCCCGCTGTCCTGTTAGCACCGGGTGCCCAGGGACGGTGCTGGGGGTCCCTCAGCACCAGGGCACGGGGTGTGGGGGGGCAGCGGGGCTGTGCCCAGCACCCCGAGCCCCCCCGGCTGGCACAGCGCCCTGCAGCTGGGGCAGGGCATTGCCGGGACGGGCACCGGGAACAACGAGAGGGGAGGCCCCGAGCCCCCCACCCCCACCCCCACCCCCACCCCCCGCAGCCCCCGGGCGGCTCCGTGCGGCCCGGAGCCGGGCCGGGCCCCGCCGCCTGTTGCTGGGGGGCGGCCGGGAGCCCCCGGGGGCCGTCTCCCCGCGGGGGGCGGCAGCCCAAGGTCAGCCCCGCCGAGCCGAGCCCCCCCCCCCGGCCGGGCACAGAGCTCCGGGACCCCCGGCCCGGCCCCAGCGGGGGCGCGCCCAGGCCCAGGCCCAGGCTCAGGCCCAGCGCAGGCCCTGCCCCTGCCGGGCCCGTTCCGCCGCCCGCTCCCCGCAGGCTCCGCGGCGCTGCCGCCGCCGCCAGGCCCGGCCCGCCCGGTAGGCCAAGGGCAGGGCGGCGCGGCAGGTGCCACCGGGCGGCGAGGCGAGGCGAGGCCCGGCCGCTCCGTCCCCACCTCCCCCTCCCCGCCTCCCCCCCTCCCTCCTCCGGGTCCCCCCCGTGCTCACCGGGCCCCGCGGCCGCTCCCCGAGGCCGCTCCCCGCCGCCAGCGGCCCCGAACCGAGCGCACGGAGCGGGCGGCGCGGCGCGAGCGCGACCCCGCGCGGGCGCGGGCACGGACCCGGGGGCGGGGCCTCGGCGGCGCCTGGCAACCGGCGGCACGAGCGCGCCGCGGCCAATCCGCGCCCGCCGCCCGCGCCGGGCCACGCCCCCTCCCGGCCCCGCCCCACGTGGCCGCGCGCGCGGCACCGCCCCCCCCCCAGCTCCCCGCCAGGCCCCGCCCCTTTCGCCGCGGCCGCTGCCTCCTGGCGCCGCCGCCAGCCCCGCCCCGCACCTGCCGCTGGGACACGCCCCCGGGCAACAGGCCACGCCCCCAACAGGCCACGCCCCCCAACAGGCCACGCCCCCCTCAATGACACGCCCACCAATCAGACCACGCCCCCACCCAACAGGCCACGCCCCCAACCATCAGACCACGCCCCTAGCATTAAGCCACGCCCACCCCACAGGCTCCACCCCATCCACAAGCCACGCCCCTTCCTTCAGGCCACGCCCCCTTCCCAACAGGCCCCGCCCCCTCCCGCCAGGCCCCGCCCCCCCCACCAGCGCCATGCCGGTGCCGCGGGTGCTGCTGGCTGTGGCCGTGGCCGTGGCACTGGGTGCAGGTAGGGCCGGGGCTGGGGGGGGGACAGCGGGGTCTGGGCAGCCCCGGGGGGGCCCCATCCTGCCCCGTGCCCCCGGTGCCCAGCTCCCGCTGTGCTCCCCAGGCTCCCGCTCGCCCCTCAACGACTTCCAGCGCCTGCGGGCCACCGAGCTGCTGCCCCTGCCCCCCGAGGCACCGCCACCGCCAGAGCCAGGCCCGGCCGAGCAGTGCGCCCAGCGCTGTGCCACCAGCCCGGCCTGCCGGTGAGACACCAAGCGGGTGAGCCCCATGCCCCCCGGTGCCACCCCATGTCCCCCCCGGTGCCACCCCGCTGTCACGCCCCGCAGGGCCTTCCACCACGAGCGGCAGAGCCAGCTGTGCCAGCTGCTGCGCTGGACGCAGCACTCGCCCGGCGTGCGGCTGCAGAAGAACATCCACTGCGACCTGTACCAGAAGAAAGGTGGGCACCGGGGCTGCACGTCGGGCACCCACCCGCTGCCCGCCCGGCCCTGACGCCCTGCCCGGCTCTGCCCAGACTACCTGCGGGACTGCATCGTGGCCGACGGCATCAGCTACCGCGGCACGCGGGCCACCACCGAGAAGGGGCTGCGCTGCCAGCACTGGCAGGCCACCACGCCGCACGACCACAGGTGCCACCGTGCCCCCTGACGCCCCCCCAGCGGCTGTGAGCACCAGCCCTGGGCAGCACGGGGCAGTGGGACACGGGACGGGGCGGCGTGGGGCAGGGGGTGTGGGGTGGGGGCGGTGGGGATGGCGCTGGGGCGGTGGCACTGACCGGGGGTGGCGCAGGTTCCTGCCGTCCCCACGCAACGGGCTGGAGGAGAACTACTGCCGCAACCCCGACCGCGACAAGCGGGGCCCCTGGTGTTACACCGTGGACCCCAACGTGCGGCACCAGAGCTGCGGCATCAAGAAGTGCCAGGATGGTGAGCGCCACGCCCCGGGGATGCCCCGTGCCACTTGTCCCCGCCACCGCTGAGGCCACCCTCCCGCTGTTGGCAGCCATCTGCATGACCTGCAACGGGGAGGATTACCGGGGCTTCGTGGACCACACCGAGTCAGGGACCGAGTGCCAGCGCTGGGACCTGCAGCACCCGCACAAGCATCCCTACCACCCCGACAAGTACCGGCCCGGGGGCGCGCAGCCACGGTGCTGGCACGGTGCCTGTCACCCTCACCCACTGCTCCCCGTCTCTCGCCCAGGTACCCCGAGAAGGGTCTGGATGACAACTACTGCCGCAACCCGGATGGCTCCGAGCAGCCCTGGTGCTACACCGTTGACCCCGCGCGGGAGCGCGAGTACTGCCGCATCCGCGTCTGCAGTAAGTCCCCGCTGGTGGCACACAGGGCCAGGTGTCCTCGCTGCCACCCTCACCCCGCTGTTCTCTGGCCACGCAAGCAGAGAAGCGTCCGCGGCCCCTCAACGTCACCACCAACTGCTTCAGGGGGAAGGGCGAAGGCTACCGGGGCCGGGTGAACGTCACCGTGTCGGGCATCCCGTGCCAGCGCTGGGACGCGCAGGCACCGCACCGGCACCACTTTGTGCCCGAGAAGTACCCGTGCAAGTAGGTGTGGTGGGGCAGGACGGGGGGGCCGTGGGCAGCACCCGTGGGCACGGGCACGCAGCCGGCTGCTCTGCCAGGGACCTGCAGGAGAATTACTGCCGCAACCCCGACGGCTCGGAGGCGCCGTGGTGCTTCACCACCCGCCCCAGCGTCCGCGTTGCCTTCTGCTTCCACATCCGCCGCTGCGACGACGAGCTGGGTGCTCAGGGTGAGCCCCGCTGCCCTGGGCGTGGGGGTGCCCCCGTCAGGGTGCCCGCCTGTGACAGGGCGCTCCCTGCCTGCCCCCAGAGTGCTACCACGGCCACGGCGAGACGTACCGCGGCCACGTCAGCAAGACGCGCAAGGGCATCACGTGCCAGCGCTGGGACGCGCGGACCCCCCACGTGCCCCAGTGAGTGTGTGCAGGAGCCTCCCTGGGGGCTGCGGCACGGCCACGGGGACGGGGACAGAGGTGGTGACACCCTCCCGGCAGGATCTCTCCCGCCACCCACCCCGAGGCCCACCTGGAGGAGAACTACTGCCGCAACCCCGACAACGACAGCCACGGCCCCTGGTGCTACACCATGGACCCCCGCATGCCCTTTGACTACTGCGCCATCAAGCCCTGCTGTGAGCCCCGGCCCCGCCGAGCCCCCCCTGCCCCGCGGCGTGCTTGTGGCCACCCCGCTGCAGCCACCCCCTTGCTGTTCTCTCCGCAGCCGGCAACGCGGTGCCGTCCATCCTGGAGAGCGCGGGTAGGGACGGGGGGACGCCGGGTGCCATGCGGTGGGTGCGGACCCCACCGGCTGACGCCTGCCGTGTGCGCAGAGGCGGTGACGTTCGAGCAGTGCGGCCGGCGGGACGAGAGGCTGCAGCTCAAGGGGCGCATTGTGGGCGGGCAGCCCGGCAACTCGCCAGTGGACCGTCAGCATCCGCAACCGGTGAGCGGGCACCCCGCTGTGCCAGCACCGCTGCGCCGCCAGCCGGGCACCCCCCTCGATCTGCCCCCCCTCATGCTGGTGCCTGCAGGGCCGGCGTGCACTTCTGCGGCGGGTCCCTGGTGAACGAGCAGTGGGTGATCAGCATCCGCCAGTGCTTCTCCGTCCTGGTGAGCTTGGGGACAGCACGCAAGGCGCTGGGCGCCGCCGTGCCCTGATGTCCCCGTCCTGCAGCGACGCGGACCTGTCAGGCTACGAGGTGCACCTGGGGCTGCTGTTCAAGGACCCCGGCCCTGCAGACCCCGACCTGCAGGCCATCCCCATCGTGCGCATCCTCTGCGGTCCCTCTGAGTCCCACCTGGTGCTGCTGAAGCTGGCGAGGTGAGCAGCCGAGCCCCAGTGCCCTGGCACTGTTGGCACTGGCACCACGTCCCCTACACCCCCTGTCCCTCTGCAGGCCAGCCGTGCTGAACAAGCGCGTGGCCCTGATCTGCCTGCCGCCTGAGCGCTACGTCGTGCCCGCGGGCACCATCTGCGAGATCGCCGGCTGGGGGGAAACCAGAGGTACCCCATGTGGGCAGCCCCGGCCACGGCATCCCCCTGCCCGCACCATCCCCATGCAGTGGCACCTCCATGCCCACAGCCTCCCCGTTGTTGTCGTGTCCCCCTGCTTGCAACACCCCCTGCCCACAGCATCCCCCTTCCCGCAGCATCCCCCTGCCCATCCCACGACACCCCCTTCTCACGCCCTCCCCCTTCCGTGCCACCCCCCGCTGCCGCCCCGGGGGCTGGCACCCTGCAGGCACGGCCGACAGCCGCGTGCTGAACGTGGCCCAGCTGCCCGTGCTGGCCCACGGCGAGTGCCAGGCGGCACTGCGTGGGCGCCTGAAGGAGAGCGAGCTGTGCACCGCCCCGCTGCGCTCCGGCGTGGGCGCCTGCGAGGTGAGCGGGGCCAGGGGGGGCTCGGGGCCACCCCCCGGGATGGGGGTCACGGTGTTCTTTTGGCCCCGCAGGGAGATTACGGAGGGCCCCTGGCCTGCCTGACCGCCGACTGCTGGGTGCTGGAGGGGGTGATCACCCCGTCCCGTGTCTGCGCCCGCACCGACCAGCCCGCCCTCTTCATCCGCGTCTCGCTCTACGTCGACTGGATCCACAAGGTCATGAAGATGGTCTGAGCCGGGCTGTGGGCGGCTGGAGGGGTGGCACCCCCCTGCCTGCCCCCCCGATGCCAATAAAGGGAGTGGAGCCAGCCTCTGTCTGTGTTGCAGCGGGGCCAAGATGCACAGGACAGCTCTGCACCAGGTGGCACATGTTTATTTAGAGGCAAGCCCACGTCCCCATTTCCATCCTGTGCCGTCACTTGCTCCGCTCTCCTCTGGTCCCGGTGCCATCCCCAGGACCCCCGGGCACTCCAAGGCCACCGCAGGTGCTAGGGGCTGTGCCGGGGCTGTCTCAGGTGTTGGAGGAACCAGCGGGCACAGTTCCCAAAAACATCAGCCTCCGTCTCTGTGCCTGCCAGTGCATGGCCGCCCTCCGGGTACCACAGCAGCCTGGGGGTGGGCAGGGGATGCTCAGCCGGTGCCCCAGGGCTCCCTGCCTGCTCCCCCCAACCCCTGCGCCCCACTCACCGTGCCGGCACCCCCCTGGCCCGCAGCACCCGGTACAGCTCCAGCGACTGCGTGGGGCTGACCCGCCGGTCCCGGGCACCCACAGCACAGCAGCACCGGCGTCCGTACCTGCGGCACGAGCAGCGGTGGGTGCTCAGCCCCCAGCCCCGCCCCCCCCGCAGTCCATCCCCCTGTGCCGTACCCGGTGCGCCTGGGCGATGGGCGAGCGCTGCAGCATGGTGGCTATGTCCTCAGCACCGGGCACCCGCTCGAAGGAGTAGGGCAGCCCCAGGGACACGTAGCGCCTGCTGGGAGGGAGGCGGGGGGGTGGTGTGGTGCCCAGGGCATGGAGCAACGCAGGCACGATGTGAGGACGAGTGAGCCTCACCAGTCGGGGATGTCGGAGGTGCCCAGCAGGGCGGGCAGGTTGGAGACGGGGTTGCGCAGGGCGCACGCCTGGTAGCGCTTGGGCTCACGGGCGAGGAGGTGCAGGGCGATGAAGGCTCCGTGGGAGCCGGCGAGCAGGGCCAGGCGGTGTGGGTCGAGGGGCTCGCTGTGCAGCGCCTGCTCCACTGCCAGCTGCGGGCGTGGGGCACCCCACGGTCAGCACCCCACCCCGACAGCACCCCCAGCACCCTGTCCCAGCGCCCCCCTGACCTGTGTGTCCGCCACATCCTGCTCACCCACACGGGACAGCAGGGACTCGATGCTGGCCTGCCCGAAGCCCAGGGAGCCGCGGTAGTTCACTGGGGAGAGAGCGTTTGTGGGGTGCCACAGTCCCCAGCGTGGCACAGGGGACACCTGGCAGCCAGGGGTCCCCAGCACTCACCCAGGAGCACGGCGAAGCCCAGGCGGCACAGTGCAGGCCATGCTCGGGCGCCAGCGGGCATCGAAGACGGCGTGAGGGCCACCTGGGGACAGCGGGGACATCACCTGGGGTGCCACCAGCAGCGCAGGGGTGTCCCCGCTGCCCCCTCACTCACCGTGGGGGCACACAACGAGGGGGTGCGGTGCCTTGCTGCCCGGCGGGCTCAGCAGCAGCGCCTCGAAGGGCTGGGTGCCTGCACCGAGGAAGGGGCCCTGCTCAGCCCCCGCTGCCCTGCATACCCAGTGTCCCCAGGCCCTTCCCACCCCCCTCCACCCAAGGGCCCCCAGCACCCAGTAGCACCCGGGTGCTTGGGGGCCCCTGGGCGCTCACCGCACGGAGCAGAGCTCTGCCCACCGCAGGGAGGCCGAACCATCAGGGTTTTCCAGGTGATGCCAGGCACCGTTGGGGCGTCCTCCACTGTCACCCAGCGCAGGGACAGCTCCTGACCCAACGGTGGCAGCTCTGCCACGACCTGGGGACGGGCGCTGAGTGGCACCGGGGCACCCCTTTCCCTCGGCAAGGTGTCACGGGCACCGCGCATGGTGCCGTGCCACGGTGCTGCTCACCAGGCGGGGTGGGCGGTGTGGGGCCGAGCAGGTGGCCACCAGCAGGTCCCACTGGATGGTGAGCAGCTCCCAGCACCCTTCGGGTGACCCTGCAGACAGCAGCACCCCGATGGGCACCGGGGCTCACCCTGACTTGCCAGCGAGCCGCCAGCAGCCAGGCGCAGCGTACCGGCAGTGAGGTTGGTGACAGTGGCTGCCTCCGTGTCCACCAGCAGCAGGTCCTGCAAGGGGACAGAGCATGGATCCCAGGTCACCACAGGGGGCCGTGTCGCAGCCCTGCTCTGTCCCTGTCCCCCAGCTCACTGTGTGGCTGCGCTGCGGGGTGCCCAGCAGGGCTCTCCGGCTGTCGGCTGCCCAGCACCGCGGCGGCAGCTCCGTGGCATAGATCCCGGTGAAGGCTGCGAGCAGGGCAGGGCACTGGTGAGCTGGGGTGGGGGCCCCCGGAATCAGGGGGTAATCCGACCCCCCAGCAGCACCCAGTCCCGCTGGCTGCGTGGCTCTCACCGCCTGTGGGCTCCTGCACCACATCAAGCACCATCACCGTCTGCCGCGTCTGCCAGGTGAGCTGGGGAGAGCCAAGCCCCGACGGGGAAACTGAGGCACGGGGGATTTGGGGACCGAGAGGGATTTGGGGGACAGCTCCTGCCCAACAGGGAGGGGCGGCCCAGCACGCAGCAGCCCCCTCACCATCCGCAGCTGCAGGCACTGCCGGTGGGGCCCTCCCACGGCCCCCTCCAGGTAAAGCAGGCGCCGGCCGTCGGGGCTCAGCCGGGGCGAGCAGGCGGCACGGGGCTGGGCCGACAGCAGCTCTGTGGGCAGCGGGGATCAGTGCCACTGGGGACACCGGGGACCGAGGACCACCCTGAGGTCCCCAGCGCTCACCGCAGCGCCTGCTGGCCACTTCCAAATGGAAAATGCCCGACCTGGGGAGGAGCAGTGGCTGTCAGAGCTCCGTGGCTACATCAGCCCTCACCGTGCCGGCACAGGGTGGGCAGCGGGGTCGCACCGGGGGGCTCACCTCCTGTTGGAGCAGGCACTCAGCCCCAGGCGGAAGGGCTCGTGCCACCAGCCCACGAACACCACGCCGGTGTCATCCGGGGACCACAGAGCCTGCGTGAGAGCTGGGCTCGTGCCGGAGCCACGGGGCATTCCCACTGACCCCTAGGGCTCTGCCCCCCCTCCCCATCCTGACCTGCCCGGGGGAGACGTGCTCGGGGACGCCCTCCAGCACCGAGACGCTGCTGCCCTCGATGTCCAGCACGCAGAGCACGGGGACGCTGCAGGTGCTCAGCGCCTCCCCCCAGTCCTCGCAGTACACGAACTGCTCGCCCTGCTCACGGCGTGCATGGTGTGGTCACTGGCACGCTCACCATGCACGTGGCACACTCACGGGATGCTCACCACCCACCTCCTCATCCTCCTCTGCCGGCCCGGCTGCCCCCGGCACAAGCCACGGGCTGGGTTTTGGTGGCCTGGGCTGGCTCCTCTCAGCCACGTAGAGCAGCCGCGTCTCCGAGTGGGACCAGGCCAGGCAGGCGAAGGGCCCTGGTGCGGGGACAGGGTGCCAAAGCCCAGCGTGGCACGGGCGCAGCCAGCGGGGCCACCAGCCGTGCCACCCTCACCTGCACCCTGTGGGTGTTTTGGGAGGGGGCCCTACCCTCTGTGTAGACCCTGCCGTGCTTCCCCAGCGCTGTCAGGTCCACGCCATGGCTGCGCCCACCTCCATCCCACACCTGGGCGAGGGGGGGGGCTGAGCACAGGCACACCGTACCCACAGCACCCACCTCCCCTCCCCAGGCATCCCCGGGCACCCGCGTTACCTCCAGCACCTCGTGGCCCTGCAGCGGGCAGCGGGCGAGCACGGCGCGGCGCTGCCCCGACGGCGAGTCCTGGCTGAGAAGCCTGCGGGCGGCAGGGAGGCTGCAGCGGGGGCACGGCCAGCACCGCCCCGTCCCGTCCCATCCCAAAGCCCTACTGGTGGTGGATCTCGGCGCTGAGCGCTGCCCGGCTGGCAGTGAGGCTGCTGCCCACCCGCTGCAGGCTGTAGTGCCGGCTGAAGCGCAGGAGCCGCCGGCGGCGCAGGTCGGGCTGGCTGCACTCTGTGGGACGGGGACGTCAGCGCCCGCCCGTGCCGAGAGCGCCGAGGGCGCGCGAGCCCCAACTCACCGGTGTAGAGGAGAAGGCCTGGCCCCTCCCTGCGGTACCCAGTGCGGCGCGGGTGATAGCAGGGAAGCGGCTGAGCTCCCGGTAGCAGGAGCCGGGGTGGCTCTGCAGCCCCTCCTGCCGGCTCCCCATGGCTTTCCATGCCCCACCGTCTCCCCGAGGCCATGGGGCCGCTCCGCCGCCGCGCTGGGCCGCCGCCGTCTGCGGCTCCACAGCGGGGCAGGGTGCCAAGGCATGTGCCTGGCTGGGGGCAGTGCCAGACCCGCTGCCTTGTGCGCACCCGGGGGGGCTGCGGGGTGCTGGGTGCTGGGAGCTGGCAGCGGGACATCTCCACCCTCTGCGGTGTGACCGGCGGCCGCAGCACCATCACGGACAATCCCAGTGCTGAGCTACACCGTTTATTGGGGAGTGACAGTGCCGGGGGCCTCTCAGCACCGCAAGTGCTCCAGCAGCCACTGCACGATGTTCATGAAGCCGTCGGCTTCAGCCTCGACGCCGGCCAGCGCGTGGTTGTTCCCCTGGGTACCAGAGCAGCCTGCAGGGCAGAGCGGGGATTAGCAGCCGTGCCCGCAGCCCGCTCCCCAGCACCCAGCCCCTACTCACCGCGTGGGGACACCCGCGGGTCTTCAGGGCACGGTAATACTCCAGCCCCTGCTTGGGGGGCACACGGAGGTCGTCCTCCCCCAGCATCAGCAGCACGGGCGTGCGGACCTGTGGGGGGCACGGCTCAGTAACACTGCCATGGGTGGGTGCAGGGGACTGGGGACAGGGACGGGGCTGTACCCGGTCAACGTAGCGTATGGGTGACTTCTGCAGCATCTCCGCCCACTGCGCTGGGTCCGGCAGGGCAGCCGGCACGTAGGGCAGCCCCGTCTCCGTCAGGCACCTGCGGGCGAGAGGCAGGGGGGGCACGTGCAGGGCCTGGGGTCAGGGGGGAGCCGGGGGGCGCAGCACTCACCAGTCAGGGATGTCGGTGGTGGTGGCCATGGAGGCGATGTTCACCACGGGGTTGCGGACCACGCAGGCGTGGTAGGTGTCGGGGAACT